TGTTTGCACCACAAAACTTGCTACTGAAACTGGGTCCTAGGCTGGCAGGCAGAGTAAACGTGAGGGACTCGGGCTCTGGGTGCAGTGTCTTCAATATGAGATCTGTGCGCTATCGGGTCAGAATAAATATGGTTCAGCTCAGACATGGGACACCAAGTTCTATTTCCCAGAGTCCTACTAGCCAGAGTACAGATGCAAAGTCCATTTTATGATTTTATGCTCACTGGGGGGGTGTGTGCATGGAAATGCATATGTAAAGACAGGTAAGTCAGGTGATACCTGATTGAGCACAAAGCCTTTTGGCACAAAAATTAGCACAGCCAAATTTTTGGAACAAAGCAGAAGCAGCAGAAAGGATTTAGTGAGGGATCAATACTCTGCATTGAGTGTCTCTGCTCTTTTTCAGTCTGGCCCTGGGAGCCAGATAAAAGCTGGATGTCTTGTGTTATCATGCCTTATCTTACGAAACTTTTCTATGCCAGATTCTTGCAGACCAGGCTGAGGCCATGGGGAGCACACATGCAAACTCCAGTGAGCTGGACTGGCCCCACAGAAGTCCTGGGTGCTGTTACTCTGGCTCTCTACACTGAGCAAGCTCTTCATGCCCTAATGAAAGAGTAGCTGTCTCTAGAGGTAGAGGAGGATAGAAAACCACCGCCCTGGCAAGATAGTTTCCCAGTATCTTTCAGCAGGCGTATGCTATTTTCAAGAAACAAGTATAGTACAAATCAGAGCATTTCTAGACCAGGCCCATGGCTGGTGGTTTTTGGAGCTAAAGTGAAAAGAAAATGTGATAATAAACCTGTGACCTGCTCACTTGCTCTTTGTGCCAGAGGAATTTCTCAAATTTCTCCAAGGTCTTGGCTCTGTGGAATAACGGAGTCCTACTGAGGCATTCCCACTAGTTAGTTTGCGTTGTCCCCGGAGCCACACCAGGCAGATGGAGGGAGGCATACATGGCTCTTCTCTCCTTGCACGAAGGCAACGTGAACGTACAGGGATGCTTCTTTGGTGGGGGCAGGAGCGTTGTGCCGTGTCGCACCCCCAGCCGTGCTTGCACCGAGGGCCATGCTGAGCCACCAGCCCAGCAAACACTGTCTCCCGCTCCCAGTGATGCCTCACTCGTCCTGCACTGAAGGTGCCACGCAGCTTGAGAGGTGGGAAATGGAAATGCTTTTTGCCTTGGTCACTATTTGGAAATTAGGCAGAAGCCCAGGCGGAGTGAAATTGAGCGGCTTTCCCACAGTGGGCTTGGTGAGCTGCACGCTCGCTGTCCGGACTTCTTTGACACAGGGCTGGGCCCCACAGAGGAACAGGGGGTCCCACCGCCAGCACAGAGTGTGCCAGTCAAGAAGGAAGCCACAGATGCCTGTGAAATCCCGCTTAAAAGGTGTGCAGCCTGGGTTTAAAATGCTGGTGGAGATACTAAGTTCGAAGCACCGGCTGGTGGCTGTTGGGGTGCGTTGGTGAGGTGGCACGAGAAGGGCATGCCTTCATCATGGAAAGAACGAGGGGTAATGGGTACAAGTTAATCCTGAGAATATTCTAGTTGAACATGGGAGGAAAATTTTTAACTATGAGAAGAGTCAACCATTGGAATAATCTCCCCAGGGGAGTGGTTGACTCTGCCACACTGGACACGTTCAAGGTGCAGTTGGACAGGGTGCTGGGCCATCTTGTCTAGGCTGTGCTCTTGCCCAGAAAGGTTGGACCAGATGCTCCTTGAGGTCCCTTCCAACCTGGTATCCCGTGATTCTATGATTCATGTGTAGCCTGCAGTTTACTTCCACTTTTGAAGCCTCTAACCCAGCCCTTCATATGACCAGCCTATTCTGTGGTGTTTTTGTTAGCCATGTAGAACTCGGTGTGCTATAAGACTGAAAAAGGATATAAAACAGAACTTCTACTTTGATTCTTTTTCAACTTGGCAAGTTTATACCCACATCTTAACTGCTACTATTTTTACTTCCACACTCCTAGATTCAAAAGACCCTGACTTTGGGGAAAAACAGACCAAAATCTACATAGAGGTGTGCTCCCATCTCTGTACGATAAGCCTGTTGCACAAATCAGGGCATTTCTTGGAGCACACAGAAATTGTTGCCTTTCACATCACCCAAGCAAATGCTGTTCTATTATGGGCCCAACTGTAATACAAAAAAATTACATCTATGGAAATTCAAATCTTGAAAAATTAAATATTCAGATCCTCACTGACATACTGCAAATACATATGAAACATTCTTGTTTCCCAGGGTAATAGCTACATAATTAGGCTAAGCCTTTCACACTTTCTCTTGGAACCCATCAGATTTATTTACCAAAAATCATTGCATAGATATGCCCAGCAAATGTCTTAGAGGACCATTTGTAACTAAATTAAAAGCTTAAGTACAGAGATTCTCTCTTCACTAAGTATGGCTTTCATTAAAACTGTGAGTTGCTTATACTTCATCCCTTGCAGCCTCTTGAAGTCCTCTGTTTGACATTTTGAATGTGCCGTGCAGGTTCTAATACACATTACACAAAAAGAGCTATTATAAAATTCCTGGCTTTTTCTTGTTTGCATGACAAAGGGGGAATGGCAAATCCTCCAATTGGACCAGATAATCACTCTCCTGTGAAAAGCCTACAATCCACATCCTCTGTTTTCTTCTTAGCTGAGCTTCGACTGTGTTTGGTCAATAATTTTATTTTACGTGTGAAGCCCATAAATCACCTCCCAATACACATTGGACAGTGAAGAGTCCTGGTAGATTAGACATTGGCCACAGAAGAAATCACGTCTGGATCCAGGAAAGCTGGGTGCTTGGTGGAGCAATCGGGCATTATCATTTCATGTTATCATGGTTTTTTGGAGAGCCCTCACTACACAGTAGGACCACTCTCCAGAGTGAAGACTAATTGGATGGGTAAAGGTTTACAGGATCAGGTCTTCTGACATGAGGGAGAGACCACTACAGATCCGTGAACTGCAGTTTTATCCAGGTGACTGTCGCTGTATAAACATAACAAATTCACTGCTGGCACTGAGTTAGCCAGCACTTGCAGAGCGTGTCTGAAGGAAGCTTTGCCAGCCGCCTGAACATTGCTTAGATGCAGTTTGTGACCCAAGCCGCCGAAAGCGGTTTGTGGTGTGGCTGCGTTTGTCCCATCCCGTGAAAATCAGTAATGTGCCATTTAGCTGGGGAGGCACTTCGGAGGGGACAGCCGGGCATATGGAGCCTTCCTAAGGGGCTGAGGGGGTTGCGAAGATTTCAGAAAAAAAAAACCCAAACCTTCCCCTCCTCTTATTAACAAGAGCAGGAGTTTTTGACCTGAGTTGAAGCTGAGGCGGTCAAACGAAGTGGATATTTTTCACTGCTATTTGTGTTTTGGGAATGAATATAACCGAAAATATCGATTCGTTCAGAGAAAGATGCTACACAGAGGGAAAGATTAAAGGATGTGCTGCCTTGGGACTGTAGTTTGTAGCCTATGTTTCCATTTTAGCCTTAAAACTCAATTCAGCTAAATTATCATGTTGAAGGAGACAAGTTTCTCAAAAGGTTATAAAGACAAAATGAGCAGGAACAGAGGTGTTTAGCTGGGCTCTTTCAGACGACTTTGCTGCCTTCCCCTCTGTACAAAACAGGCTGCTTGTTTTAATGAGGGAGGAATCACAAGGCGGGGGGCACACTTTTGTACAAGTACACTACACAGGGGCTCCAGCCAGACTTTTCTCAGGGCACATCCTTCAGCCGGGCCGTTGGATGAAACTGGACCCATTTTAAATCATTCACAGAGACATATCAACTCCAAAGAGCTTTTGAGACTGAAGATATTTGTATGTGTGCTCAGGCATGTCACTGCTGGAGAGGGTGAAAATCTGCCCCGAGTGCCGTGCTTCTTCACGCTTCTATCGATCACATTTTATTTTTTTTTCCATTCACTTCCCCTGGTTTGGTTTCAAAAATAGACTTCTGCATCTTATGCCAGCAAGGGCCAGGGAAGCAAGGGATGTGAGCTTCAGGTTTAAAGGTCGACTTCAAGGCAAACATCCAACACTACCTCCCCCCCCGCTCCCCCCAGCCTCCAGGTCAGCTTTGCTCTCCACAGACAGCTCTCTATTGTGGTCGTTAATAGCATTCAAAATACCAATATTCTTCATCCATGTTGTGGAAAAGCAGAGTGGTTTCTCACGTTCACTGACTGGTGACCTGCCTCTTTATATAAAGTCGCCTTCTTTTAAGTACAAGTATTATGAAACCCACAGGAACCCACAAGGAGCGATGGGGCATTTTTCTAAAATGTCAGACCTGTACATCTTCCACCTTCCGTGATTCAGAGGTAGGGTAAAAGGCCATAAACCATTCAACTGCTGTGATTCACTGCCCTGATTAATACGCTTGATACAAATATTCAGAGATCAAAGTGGTACCTACCCCCCAAAAAAAAGATTTTAAATGATTTTTTTACTGCTTGCCATAAAGAGGGACTTCCAGCTAAAGCATTATTCTCCTGATTGATATTGGCTATTTTAGGTAGCAAGTCCCCTGCGGTAAAGATTGACGCTTCCTTTAAGAATCATATGATGTGGTACCTAAAGCAATGTACTCTGCAGATGTGTTTCCTCCCTGACCTAGGCTGAACATGAGACACTGACCACTCAGGGGCTGTCTGGGCAAAAGTTTACAGGGAATTAAAAAAGGATGGAAACTTCTTCCCCATGAAGGAATCTGGAAGCTCCCCTAAACCTTCTTGTATTAACTTTGCAGTAGATGAAGGTGTTAAACTGGCATGTGTCTACCGACGGGGGAGTGATCCTTTTAAGTCCTCTGCTTCGTCCCCACTTGTGGAATTTGTTGTGCCAGTGGGACGAGGCTGGCTATAAAACCCCGTCGCAGGGGACCCCCATCCCGCTCTGGCAGCCTGCCCACCACATCTCTGCCGAGAGCAGCCCCGGAGAGATCCCCCCTTCATCTCTGCCGGGCAGGCGGCTGCTTCGCTGACGGAGGAGGATGGATGCGAGGTTCGGCCAGATGCTCTGCGTGCTCTGCCTGGCCATTGCTGTGCAGGCATTTACCCAGGAAGGGTTCAAGGAGGTGTTGCTGAAGCAGCTGGGACTCTCAGAGGTCCCTAAACTTCATAAGAGAGACTTGGTGGATCTGGTTATCCCAGACCATGTAAAGAACAAATACATCTCCATGCTGAAGCGCCACAGGGTGAAGCGCCGAGCTTTGCCGAGCCTGGCCGGCATCCTCAGGGGGATCCCTGGCAATGCAGGTAACGTTTCTGCCGCCGCTGTCGGGAACTCAGAAAGCGCTATGCCTACAGAGGCAAACCCACAAGGGGGGAATGAGGTTTGGGTCCGGCTCCAGACCTGAGCTGGGTAGAAGAGGTGCATGGAACAGCATCTTAAAGATTAACACACACTAGTAATTCCCTGCGCCTGGAGAGGGGGTCTCACAGTCCTTGCGAAGGGCAGGCTGCTGCTGGAGCTTGATAGAAGAGAAAAGCCTTGGTACCCAGGCAACACTTCGGGCAGGTGGAAAAACAATGAGGGAAAAAAAAAAAAGTCCATAGAAAGTACAGACCTTGCTGGTTTTGGGTCAAAACTCCGGGAAGTCCTTTCATAGGAATCACGCCTCTTTGAGGATGTTTTGCTCTCCCCGGTCTTTTTTTTTTTTTTTTTTCCAGCTGGGAAAAATATCAAGGAGAAAATCAGCTGTACAGACACAATAGTGTCTGCACAAGGACACTTAGAGCTTGTTTCACTTTCAAAAGATGTACATAACACCCCGGGCAGCAAACGAAAACATTTACTCATTGCAAGTGGTGCAGTTTCCTGCTGTGGTGCCCAGCACTGGCGCAGAGAGATGTCCCCTCGATTTGGGGGCAAGGTATAGAGGAGATTTCTTTCTGTTGCCTCCAGGTTGCAGAGGCTCAGACATAGGAGAAGAATTAGGGCATTTGCAAGACATTGATTCAAGTACGCATTAGAAAAGGTGTGTTTAGTGGCTGTCTCTGCTGCAAGGGCTGGATGTGGGAGTGTGAGCGGGATGGAAGGAGCGTGTTGTGATGATAATTGTGGACAAGCGTGTGGGGCTTTGCTTACCAGGATGGCAAGGACAGGCTGTCTTTTTTGTTCCCAACCTGCACAGGTATGGCAGGAGGAGCCCTCTACTCTGACACCACCACGCGTCAGAACCTGATCTTTGACATGGAGGGCAGAATACCTAAAAACAGTGAAGTGACAATGGCTGAACTGAAACTCTTCAAAAAGCCTCTGGACAGAGCAAACCTGCCTGCCAGGCAGTCTCACAGACCCATCATCTCCAACGCCAGAGTCAGCGTCTACTGGGTGCAGCAGCAGCATGATGGAACCAACAGGACCTCCCTGGTAGACTCCAGGTAAGAAAGGGACCTCCCCTGAAGGCAGGGCTCTAGTTACGGGGTATGGGCCCTCTGGGCTGGGTTCGGGTGTCATGTGTTTGTGCCTCCTGTCAGTCTGATGGAGTTACACCTGTAGAATCAGGCTCTATAGCCTCTAAACACAGAATGAGTTGGTAAGAGCAGGTACTAGGTTAAGACTGTGATATATGACGTTTCATTGAAATAATCTATTTCTGTGTCAAACGATGCCATGTGCTGCTAGGTCTTCCCCTCTCAGACCCTCCCCCCGGTTCACTTCTCTCTCACTCTCTGTCCGACGTGGGTTACTGGCTGCTGGTATTCTTTCCATTGGCCGTTTCATTAGCTGGTTTAAATAAGTAAATTATGCAAAAAGCACCTGATTCTGTAGCCTTGAGCTGTGTTGAAGTTTCACAACCCTTGAAGGCAGAATTAGACATCAAACCAATTTTCTGGGTGGGTAGGAACTTGTGGCCCTAATACAGCTCGGACAGGAGCAGGTGGGAGTAGTGGTGTTTACCAGGCTGTCGTCACTAATACCGAGGCTGCTTATAATCCTGCACCACCACATTTCTGTCTGAGCATAAATGAATACCTTGACATGAGCATGCACAAAGGGTTTTATTTACCCCTTCAGTGTCTGCTAGATCTGCACGCTTCTTTTTGAGGTGTGAGTTAATTGCCAAGGGTGCTTGCCCAGAGCACTCGGCAAAAATTACCGTGTAACCAAGGCACATGACAATCTACAGGAAGCAATTTATTCTGCTGCAGTCGCAGCGCTGCGAGCCTGGGATTTATCTGATGGGCTTTTCTCTCATGCCGAGCCCCTGTCGTGCAGGCTGGTTCCCATACGCGAGTCGGGCTGGAAGAACTTTGACGTGACACAGGCCGTGCATTACTGGCTGCGAAACAAGAGGCGGGAGCCAATGTTCCTGGAGGTCTGGATTGAAGGAGAAAGGGTAGGCAGCCATGCCTCAGAAATAGCCAAAGCCGTGCGCTTCACCTCTCAGGACCCCAAGGATAAAGCCCTAGGCAAACCCGAACTGGTGCTTTATACCCTCGACTTGGGAGACTATGGGTACGTATGAAACCTAAATCTGTACTGCCTCCAGTGTAACTTTGCCCCAAATTATTGTACTGCGTTGCCGACCCAGGGTGTACAGCTCTTGCCCTCGCAAGTAAACCTCTGGGAACGGAGAGTTAGTTAGAAAGTTGCTGCCAAATCACACCTCCCCTCTTCCCGTATTTGTTGCCTGAATATTCAAATGAAACCCAAATGTGGTCCAAGACACGTGAGTCTTGGGGCCCACCTGTGCTATCAACAGGGGGGATTATTTCTCCCACCTCCCCAGTTTCCAGTTATGGCATGGCTTCTTGTTTCTCCCTTGGCATGCAGGGGCCCTGGGGATTGCAAGGAGGAGGCAGCGATGGGGAAGTCCACCTGCT